TGCGTGTACGCCCCGCTGCTGAGAGCGAGTGGCTTACATGCGGTGCGGGCAGCCGTGTGTCTGCATGTGGGAAGTACGCAGACCTCTGCCGCCAGCGTATCGCAAGAGCAGCAACAACAACAACAACAACTACTATTGATACTACTGTTAATGCTGGACAGCCAAAGGCGGTGATGACTTCTGATGGTAGTGGTAGTAGTAATGGTGGTGGTGTTTTTTCAACAATTCTGAATGGTTATCATACAGGAGTGTGGGATCTGGATGTTATTAAGAATCCATCAGTACCATCAATATCTACTGATCCAGATTCAAAAGTATCTGTACCGTCTGTGGTGAAGGTGCCAGAGACATCACACAAAGGTAAGGACATGGAAGATAGAATTTCTGGTCAGGACTCTGGTGATGTTGAGATTCCGGGAGAAACAGTGTTACGAGATATTTCAGATGCTGTCCCACCTCCATTGGACAAACCAGGTATTTTTGATGCCAGTACTTCTAATGCTGCTATCTCTCAAGGAGAGAGAAATAATTCTTCAGAAGGGAGTAAATTAGAAGTTACAGCAGCTGCAGAAATTGTAACCTTAGAGAGTAAGGCTGCAGAGACCAAGTCATCAGCAAACGTTTCTACAGATTCACACAACGCACAAGAAGACGGTTCTGAAGTACCGGTAACGGTTTCATTACCTGCTGACAAATCCTCATCTGGCGATGCTGTTTCTAAACAGAGTACCACGCAAGCTCATTGGGAAAGTACCACTGAAGGTGGTGATGGCAATCGCACTAACCAACCTGTTACAGCTGCTGATACGAATACTACAGCAGAATCACAAGAAACCAATCCCACTATTCCACCAAGTCCCGAGAACACTACCAGAGAAGCACCAATCACCACTCCATCTCCTGCAACTGTTAGTGTGACTGCCGCAGAATCACAAGAAACAAATACTACTACTCCGTCAAGCCCCGAGATTACTGTCACTGGAGCACCAACCACAACAACTCCATCTCCTGTTCCCGTAACCGATACTCAAATCAGCAAGATCGCTTCCACTGAAAAGAACAACACCAATGTTGACAGCATTGTCAATCCTGTGTGGATGTGCACTGCAGCACCGTTGTTGATTGTGGCTATGTTGTTCTCCGCTACCCTGTACTGAACGGTGGTACTCACCTGAGGTCAAATAATAATAATAATAATGGTTAAACTAACATAATTATATTTGCGTACATCCCCCATGGGTGAATAAACTAATAATCTGTTTACCAGCTTTATCTTTTAATTGAAATTTCTTTTCTTTTTTTTTTACTTTTTTATCTGTGTGTGTTCTTTTTTTTTCTAATAATTCCATTACTTGCTTTTCCCGTTGTGTGAGTGCAGAAAACTGGGCTGTTCTGCTCACTGACGGTATACACCTCTTGCTAGTACACACAGATGTGTGGGTGGTGTAATTTAATATACATAAACTAGAGCCATGGGGTATTGTGTGTATTTGGCTCTCTCTCTTATTTGGGTATGGTGGTGTCTTTTTCTTTTTCTATTAAGGGGTACATATTATCATACAAGCTGGATATTCCTTTTTCTTGCTTTACTGTGCAGTTACTGCTTCTCTCTCTTTTTTCCACTGTGAGTATTTGTTGTATTGTTGTATGTTTCTTTGTTTCCATCTCTTTTTTTTTTCCTTTTTCTTTCTTGTATTAGTCTATTGTAGTAATCAGCAACAATGACAAAGGCTCTAATGGTGAGGTGCTACCTCCTTTGTTTACTAACTCTTGCACTGTGTTGTGCTTGTGGGTTAGTATGGGCTGATAGTCCTAAAACTTCTGATGCCCTTATTAAAACTTCCACTGTTGGTGTTCCTTCTCTTGTTCGTCGTGCTATTCCTGCCGATGGAGATTGGCTTGTGTGGAATGTGGATCAGGAAGAAGAGAATGAGGAGGAAGTTGCAGAACCAAATGTTGTTTCTACGGATCCTGGTGGTTTGCGTTCTTCGCCTAGTAGTACATCCATTAATACTGGTCTCTCAGGTGGTGGTGCTGATCGTCACGACCCTAATAAGGTACAAACGCAGGACGGAGTGCAAGTTCTCTCACAACAGAAACCGTTGGCAGAAGAAAACAGACAACTCGGAGGGGATGCGGGTCACAATCGACAAACAAATGATATCAACCCGTCAGTTAATTCAAGGGTAAATGGTCAAGTGAGTGATACTCTTTCAGCCGTATCTCCTTCTGCTCTGGGAGGTCAGCAGCCTGTTTCTCCTTCACCAGAGCCAGATCCAAATGGACCAAAAGTATCCAGTGAACACTCAAGTAAAGAACGACATGTTGAAGCATCCACTAAAGACGATCATGCTCTTCACCATGCAATGAAATCACGTGAGAAACAACAAGAAGGCACAAACACTCACGATAAACAAGGCGGAGAGACCGCAGATACATCAATGCCAGAAACTTCTGTCGGGCAAGAGACTTCCGTCACTGTACCTCAGAATACGCCTGAGGAATCTTCCAGTACATCAGCAACACCTAATGCTGGTGAATCTGGAGATGCACAGAATGAATCAACAAATACCCAAAACGCTGATGTGGGAAGTGGCAACTCCTCAACCACCACCACCACCACAACAACAACAACACTTCCTCCTGAACTCCCAAACAACAAGAAGGGTGATGCAGACAGCAGCAGCAGTATCAGCAGTTCTCTGTGTGTGCGTGTATCACTACTGATTGTGGTTACACTGGCCTGTATTCTTGTGTGCTAATTGTAATGGTGGTGATGGTGTGTCTCAGGTCATCCTTTGTTTTCTTTTCTTCTTTTTGCATGCATCCGCACTACAGTCTAACTAATCTTCCACCTGTTGGGATTCTTTTCTTTTTTTGTTTCTTAATATTAATGTGTTTTGTGTGTTTTTTGCTCTCTGTGTGTTTATCCTATAATAATTATTATTGCTACTCCATTGTGTGTGTGTTCTTGGAGTCTCTCTGTGTGTGTGCCTGGGCTTGCACTGTGATGATAATGATGATAATGAATTGCTTTTTGCAGAGGGTGAGAAAGGAATAATAATAACAGATGAATTTATATTTATAATTGCGTATACATACACATATATAGACTTACACTCATAGTTGGTATATATTTCTGTGTTTACTGGGTAAATTGGGCTAATGGTTAATATCTGTTTGTTTGCTTGATGATTTTGCTGGGTGGTTCAGCCTTTATTGAAATCTTCGTGAGTGTGGCCCTTTGTTTTTGTTTTTACTCTTACTGAGGTTATTTGCGCTGTATTGCATTCTTTAAATGGTAGGTTTTACATTCACGATGTGAGTTTCCATAGTGGTAATCGATTTGTGTGTCCTAACGTGTTTGAGACTTCAGTTATTTTCTTTTTTTACTTTTTGTTTGTCTTTCTTTCTAGATCAGTGTTTTCACGCATAACAAACTATTCTCTCTCTCTCATGATGATGATGATGGGCCGTGTGATGTGTGTGTTGGCCGTTGTGCTGTGCTGCGCCTGTGGAGCTATTCTCTCTGTTGGAGTGGCAGCCACTAGTCATGATGAATGGAACGATTTTCTTGGAACAGCTATCTATGATTATAAATGCTTTAAGGAAAAAGATAAGAACGCTAGTAAGGATATGACGTGTGAGGCATGGAAAAAACATAAGAAGGAGATTGGAGAACCGGATCCCTATGCTCCTGCCTCTTCAACTCCTCAACCACTACAGAACACGGTAGATCACCCTGTCCTAACAGAGGCCGTACAACGTCAAGAAATAACAGGTGAGACTTCATCACAAGGGGCTGAACTGGGGCAGGGAAGCAAAGGAACGAAAGGGGATACACCAGAACACTCTGCCAGTGCCTCTGGAGATGAGGGACAGAAACAAGAGACAGATGCGACAGATGGTGCAACCACATCTCGAGGACAAACGTCAGATTCTAATGCAGCAGAACAAGTTAATCAAGAAACATCAAGCACAACAGCTAACAGTACACTTGGCAATTCTAAACCTTATCAGCAATCATCACCTCCAGTTGTTGATGTGACTGCCGAATCAGACTCACAAGGAACTACTTCCACTACTCCACAGAGTTCCGTGAGCGATGTAAGTGAAGCACCAACCACCACTCCATCTCCTGTACCCAATGCAGATATTAACACCATCGCTTCCACCGTACAGAAGAAGGCTAATGTTGACAGCAGTGTCACTCCTGTGTGGATGCGCACTGCAGCACCGCTGCTGATTGTGGTTGTGTTGTTCTCCGTTACTGTGTACTGAACGGTGGAACTCAACTGAGGTCAAATAATAATAATGGTTAAACTAACATAATCATAATTGCGTACATACCCCATGGGTGAATGAAAATAATAATCTGTTTACTAGCTTTCTCGATTTATTGAAATTTGTTTTCTTTTACTTTTGTGTGTGTGTGTGTTCTTTTTTCTAATAATTCCATTACTTGCTTTTCCCGTTGTGTGTGTTTGCAGAACACTGGGCTGTTCTTGCTCACTGACGGTATACATCTCTTGCTAATACACACAGATGTGTGTGTGCAGTAATTTAATATATAAACTAGAGACATGGGGTATTGTGTGTGTGTGTGTTTGGCTCTCTATTATTTGGGTATTGTGGGGTGTTCTCTTTTCATTTTTCTATTAAGGGATACATATTATCATACAAGCGGGCTATTCTTTTTTCTTGCTTTACTGTGCAGTTGGCGCTTCTCTCTCTTACTGTGAGTATTTGTTGTATTGGTGTATGTTTGTTTGTTTCTGTTTTTCACTCCCTTCCTTCTGTTTCTCTTTCTTGTATCAGTCTAGTGAAATAATCACTAACAATGATAAAGGCTGTAATGGTGAGGTGCTACCTTCTGTGTTTATTAACTCTTGCAGTCTGTTGTGCTTCTGGGTTAGTATGGGCTGATAGTCCTAAAGCTTCTGATGTCCTAATTAAAACTTCCACTGTTGGTATTCCTTCTCTTGTTCGTCATGCTATACCTGCGGGGGGAGACGATTGGATAGTGAATGTGGATGGGGATGGTGAGGATGCGCGTGAAGAGGGGCAGAAAGGAGATTTGATGAAAGAACCTAAAGAAGGGGAAGGTGTTTCTCGTGATAGTGAGTTGGG